CAATACCAGTCAATCAAGGAGACATGTGTGCTTTTAAAACTTAAGTTATTTATTAGATCAGGGAAGCTCATATAGGATTATTACTCAATAGGTAAATCACAGGTTACTAATCACTTGTGTCTAAGTCAATTCTACTTTAACTTTAAAACTCTATTAACTCTCTGTTCCATTCAGCGTTCTTACAGGCCTCTAACTCACTCTAAGTTCACTTTTAAGTTTCACACTATCTCTCACTCACAGAATCTCTCCTCCTACTCCATACACCAGCCTTTATATCCAGCCCCCTCCCCCCTTGGCACCGCCTTCCATCCACTCATTGGCTCCTTCCCCACTGCTCAGCTGTGATGGACAAGTGATCGCTACATACCTCCCTCCTTAAAAAGTTGTTTCATGGGGTTAAAGCTATAGTGCTTTACCCTCATGAACAACAAGGAGCTTTACAGTAATAAATCATCCAGTACACAACATTGCAATCAAAACTTACCACCTTTGAACATAAGTAATAATTAAACATCTTATATGCATGCTATACATTACCTTTGTAATTCCGTTACTAGTTCAATTACATTCCTCACCACTTCAATCATCTGCCTATGTGCTTACCCAACAACACATAACACTTTTAATATTTACATACATTTTTCCACTAGAACACACAGCAGATAACAATTAACGAGGTGCAATTCAATGTTTTAACACTTTCATCATTTTACCAAAGTCCATCCTCTTCGTCTTCAGCCTTCGGCGCTCCTCGACAGGGCATCAGCCACAACATTTTGAGTCCCTTTTGTCCCAATTTTAAAATTTCTCTGTCCAAAATTTATGACACATAAGTTCACTCTCACCACCACGTTCTCGTCCTCTTCAAGAGTCCAAAACTGTGGTCATGGAGGAGTGGTAATGCTCATAAAGGAAATGTCCTACCCTCCGGTATGCCTTGAGATGTGGTGAAGTCCATCTCCCTCTGCACCTTCACGATACTCATGACTTGCAGACCGCTGGGGTCCCTCGCCAACCTGCAGCTTCCCTCTCTGGAACAGCCTCAGATGAAGGATCTTACAGTCACCCACCTGGCTCAACATGGCTCCTGTCTCGAACCCGGAACTCTCCACAATGGTGACGCCTCTCCAGCACTTGGAACCTTTCCGTACGTGGTCAGCCACCGGCACAGTCTTCCATCTCTCTTTCCGCCATGATATTTTAGCTGCTCTACAGAGTTTCACCTCTCCCTCTGGAGCTGCTACAGTGATGCTCTTGGTTAAACCCTTTAGGTAGGGCCTAGCAAGATTGAGCCTAACTCACAATCCTTTTGCACTTTGCATCGCTAGCATGGTTAGGCTACGCCTCAACCTATTCAGCTTTTGATAGGTCACCCCTCTGCCTTCCCAATATGACCATGCATGTTTTTGCAGGGCCTTTCTCTTTCTCTTATCTCAAACAAACTTTGCTTTCTGGCCCCAAAGTTTGGATAGATAGGTTTGTCTTCTATAAGGTGTAACCGCCTGTGGGCGTGCATCCCCGGTGTCAAACCTGTGCACTACACTCTTGGCTACTTCGGGCTTGTTGGAGAAAACCTGCTTGTACATCATAGGCACATCTCTAGCTTTTCTTTGTTGTTCTGGGGAAACTGAGGGACTGATGTGGTCCTCTTCTGGGGTGTATTTGAGTTCGCCCCCTTCCTCCCCATAAGTTAACTCGGGGTTTTCACTGTCTGCTCCTTTCAATGACAGCAAGGCAACATCTCCTTTTCCATATAAGGGCTTGATTATGTTACCCTGGTCCACCATCCTGCTTGCCTTTCCCTCTAACAGATTGATGTAATCTCCCTCGTTCACTCGGGAGGTTGCTTGCATTATCTTGGAAGGGAAATAGGCTCCTAAAAACTTGACGAGCTCAGAAGCAAACTTCCCACTACCAATTTGCCTCAGCAGAGCATCTACAATGTTCTGAGCCTCACTATTTTTCTGTGGAACTGCTTTGGGATAACGTGTTGCGCCAACAATGATATTCAGACTGGATTTGTTTCCCTCAGGGAAACTCTGGGCAACAGTCCAACTATGTCTAAACCACTGCGTTGGACTGAGTTCGAAATGGCAGGTAAAGGACATAGCTTGGTGTCAGTTTTATCACTGCAATCCCCTTGACTCTGACCTCCTTCACGCCTCTGGTCAGATTCTTTTAACTGCTCCTCCCTTTCAAACCAGTGAAAGTTTTGTACTAAACTCTGGTCAGTGTTTGTCATGTCCATATGAGCTGCAATGGTACCCATGTGCCCCTGCTCCTTTATGCCCTCTTGATATTTGAGAGAAACAATCATTTGCTTGAGGTGAGTCTCCGCTCCCCCACTGGGATTCGCACAGGCCTCCTTGTCCAAAAGGTCTTTTCCTAGGAAGAACCTTCCAGGACTTTCAGGGGTCAACTGCCCTTCACCAACTTTCTCAAAGCAATGATCCAACATGGGATCTGCTTTTTGTTCCCTTTTATGTACTTTCTAAGTGAACCTTAACCGGTATTAATTCAGATCTAGAATCCTCTCCTCCCACCAACTCTGTATACATTTCTAAGTCAATTCTACTTTAACTTTAAAACTCTATTAACTCTCTGTTCCATTCAGCGTTCTTACAGGCCTCTAACTCACTCTAAGTTCACTTTTAAGTTTCACACTATCTCTCACTCACAGAATCTCTCCTCCTACTCCATACACCAGCCTTTATATCCAGCCCCCTCCCCCCTTGGCACCGCCTTCCATCCATTCATTGGCTCCTTCCCCACTGCTCAGCTGCTCAGTCACCAGATAGTGTTTGAGTAACATAGATTTAAAGTAGGATGTAAATGTGAGTTAAAATCTGGAGGGCAGCGGATAGTAGAAAAGCGGAAAGTTTGAATTTTGATATTGGTAAACAGAATATCATGGGCATTTTGTCAAAAACATTGCCGAAGTCAAGATATATTACATCTACAGTATTCCCATCATCTACTGGGGAGGTTCCCTGATCAAAAAATGAGATCAGATTCTGTGTTGGCTTCCATTGTTTTCAAGATGCTTGCAAAGTAAGTGCTTTATAATCTGCATTAGAATTTCCCTGACTGGTCACTAGTTGCCAGGATCCTTATTTTTGCCCTTTTTAACATAAGGACAATGTTAGCCCTTCTCCAATCATCTGGCACTTCATCCATCCTCCATGATTTCAAGAAAATAATAGACAATGGTTCTTAGAGTTCATCAGCCAGTTCCTTCCATACTCTTGAATGCACTTCATCCGGCCTTGAGGATTCGAACTCATTCAAAGTAATAAGGTATTACTTCCATCTGAAGCTGCACTCCTGTCCCTTCCACTTGTACTTCATGTCTGCCTGAAAGGTCATTTACTTTCTTTTGGGGAAAGTCTGAGCTAAAATAGGAACTGAGCACTTCTGTCTTTTTGATGTTGTCTGTTATCATTTTTCCAACTCCATTGAGTAGTTGAACCACTACAGTGGAGCCTCGCATCATGACGTTAATTTGTTCCAGCGAAATCACTGTAGAACGAAAATGTCGTGATGCAATTTTAAAAAGCCCATAGAAATGCATTAAAACCAGATGAATGCGTTCCTAGGGGCTTCAAACTCACCGTCCAGTGAAGAACCTCCATAGCACGGCCATCCATGTGAAAACACAGCGGGCGGCCATTTTGTTTACCCGGCGGCCATTTTGAAACCACCAATCAGCTGTTAAAAATCGCTTTGCGATGATCGGTTCCCGAAGCAGGGAACCGATCATCGCAAAGTGAAATTCCCCCATAGAGAACATAATTTTGCCATCGCTTTTGCGATCGCAAAAAGTTCGTCGTGATGCGATTTTGTCGTCAAACAGAGCGTCCGTCTTGCGGGGCACCACTGTATTTCTTTTCTTTGTCTTTTACTACCTGAAGAATGATTTTTGTTGCTTTTAGCATCTTTTGCTAAGTTTAGATCATTCTCAGCTTTTGCCTTCGTAACGCCATCCCTGCAGTTCTTTGCTACTTGTCTGTACTCTTCTGCAGTGGCCTTCCTTCCTTCCACATCCTAAATGTATCTTTTTTGTGTTCAGATGCTCTCTGAGCTATTTTTGAAGCCACATTAGTCTTTTTCTGCTGTCTTCCATCTTTTTTTTCCTTCTTAGAATTGTCCCTTTAGAATTTCTTTTTGAAGAAATTCCAACACTCTTGGATTCCTTTTTCTGTTAGGATCTCCTGCCATCAAACCTTACTTATCATTGTTCTAAGTTTTTTTAAAAATTGGCATGTGTATGTGCAGGTGGGCACACATACACGTGTACACGTTCCTGTTCCTTTGGCCCTCAAATATGTTGAAAATATCCAGTGTGGCCCTCATGGTCAAAAGTTTGGTGACCTCTCCTTTAGAAGATAAAAATATAATGTTGGTTAAATTACTCATAACCACAAACACATACATAACAACTCCTCTGTTGGTTTTTTTAAAATGCCAAATGCAGACTAGAATGTGTCTTCAGTCTATATTCTATTTTATTTTTAATAGAGAATATTGATAAGGGCTTAATTGTTGCACTCAAACGCTGGAACTCTGGCTTGAGGAAGCTAGGTTAACTCCATTTGCTCCTAGGCAAAAATCTTTTTATTCAGTTACTCTTTGGCAGATGTCATTGCTTGCTGCAGAAGAAAGGGAGGGAGAGAAAAGGTTAGTAGAGGCCTTCTTTTGAGGTCAGCCAATTTGCAGAGTATCTTGAAATGTCATTTCTGAAAACACCATGCAAACTGCATGGCATTGCCTTTCCCTGGCTTTTCATTTCTCTTTGTGGACTTTTGAAGCATTTTGCTTGAGGAAGAGATCTGTGATTTTGAAAGCTTGCATATTCGTTTTGCTGATTTTGGCTTTTCTACTAAAGTATACATTTTGGGATCAACAGTGGCTGATATTTATGTTTCACATTTGCTTTTATCTTCTGAAAATACATGCTTTCTTTAAAAGGTTGTTTATTATCTTTTATTGTGTGTATTCAGGATAGATGACCAGATTAAAAATTTTTTAGAAGATACAGATCCTGAGAACATACTTGAAGTTGGAGCTGATATGCGAAAGATCAAATACTGTTTCATCCATTTAAAGGTATGCTTCACTGGCTTTTGTTTGCAGGAGTGAGGAAGTTCTCAGCAAAATAACAAATATGCCATGTGTTTTGATTTACTCAACATTCCTGAGAGAGAGAGGAAGAGGAAATGGCAGGTCCTAGATCAGAAATGCGTGAAACCAAACAACTTAAGCACTAAATAAGTTGTGCATTTTTGCCAGGAGAAAGGGATGGGTGCTTTTTAAAAAAATTCTGTATTATAATAATGAACAAACATTCTTAATTTTATTAACAGAAGCTGGATGCTTTTAATATCCCTGTTTTGATAAAATGTAACTTGTTAGACTGGGAATGAATATCATGTCCACATTGTCTTCCTCAACCCTTATCTTGCACATTAGATTTAGTAGCACTTTTCCATTATACGATAAACAGGGGACCGTGGTTTAATGTCTGTTTATTTACTGGGATCTGAAATGATGATTTAATTGATGATTTCAATAAAGTAAGACTGAACTGCTGAATTTGGTGGACTTGAGAAAAAGCAATGAAAATTATTTTGTCTTAAAAAAGGATGGGATATACAAGAGATTAATGAAGGAAAAGAAACATGATGTTGTAATGTTGGATTGTAGTTATCGAGGAAAGAAAGGTGGAGGAATGTTTGAGAAGGAGCTTCAAGTAGAAGGAGATGTAGCTTGACAAGAAAGCTAACAAAGAATCAAGTGGATAATGTTAAAGAGGAAAATGCTTGATGATTTTGATTTGCAACTAGGGGCCACTGCCTAAACTTAGGAGAGCCATACCAAGTAGCACTGCCAAATTTCATGCTTCAGCTGAAGGTGGGTTTCAGGTTTGCAAGACTACTGATTTAAGAGAAGACTTGAACATTTAAGTAGTTGTCCAACATATGCACCTGCAAATGTTGGTCTGCAACTCCAATCATGTCTCTCCAATATGTATACTGGCTAGGGTTGATAGGAGCTGCAGTCCAAGAACATCTGGAACACAAATCTTCTGACTAAGGTGTTGATAACAAAGTAGCTTCTGTGAAACAGAGAACAAGGAGGAAATAAGCTAATATGATGCTGGATATCTGGCTAGAGGTTTAAGACAAAGATAAAGCAAAGCGTGATGAAAGAAACAGGCTTAAGAAGGTTTAGGAATGTCAAGGAAAAGCTTATGAAGAAGAGTAACATGATCAAAACAAAAAAGGACCTGGCATTAACAGAAGCACTCTGATTCACTAGAGCAGTGGTCCCCAACTTTGGACCTCTAGATGTTCTTTGATTTCAGCTCCCAGAAATCCTGGCCAGCAGAGGTGATGGTGAAGGCTTCTGGGAGTTGTAGTCCAAGGGCATCTGGAGGCCCAAGTTTGGGGATCACTGCCCTAGAGGAAAGATGTAAGGCAAGCCAGAGACCTATTTGGGAATTGACTAGAGTGGTACCAAATATTGTCCACCACAGCTAAAGACTGCTGATGAATCTCCTTCTTATTGGAAAACCAAGAAATGGAAGAAAAATAACAGCTTGTTGTATTAAAAGATCCCATGATTGTCTTTATTGTGTCTAATAGAGATTAGTTACTGAAGCAAAGCATCCTGATAGCCATCTGCTTGCACCAGACATTCCTGGAAACAAACATGTTAATAGCTCAACTGGAGATGGAGAATTAAAGAAGTTGAAGGATCTTCTGCAGCAACGAGACAATGAAATCAGTATCCTTAAAAAAAAAATTTCTTATGATCCTAGTTTATTAAGAAATTCTTTGATTTTTTTATCCAGTAAAGGATATCTATCTAATAACATTAAAACAACGTCTAGAATCATATGGTACATTCCAAATAAAAGTGGTTAGGCTTTGAATTGTCATAGCACTCTTGTTTGGCTGAAATCTTCTTAGTTAAGACCACAGTCTTAACTCCAATGGTATAACTTTCAGCAAGGAATTACCCCAAGAAGTCAGATAGCCTTCTTATCTGTTGTTACACATGGATAGGAAATGCTTACCCTGACTTAATTGACTTTTGAAAATTCGCTGCTTAAAATTAGGCCAATTGAACATTATTCCAGCAAGTGTAACTAGCAGGATTCCAGCCAATGAAGGGCATTTGTTGTTGTTACTTAGTCGTTTAGTCATGTCCAACTCTTCGTAACCCCATGAATCAGAGCATGCGTCAGCTTCAGGATCTGTCCTTCCAGTGAGCACTCAGGGTTGATTTCCTTCAAAATGAATATATTTGTTCTCCTTGCAGTCCAGCCATTTATGATAAAGCAACAATTCAAAAGCATAAATTCTTCGGTGGCCAGCCCTCTTTATAGTCCAGGTCTGACTATGAAGAACATTATGAAATCTTAAAAGCGTAACAAATTGCATTTGGGATATGTTTCTGTGGACAGGGGCCCACTCCACCAGAAGCACCTGTTTAAATGTTCTTTTAAAGTCTACAAAACTATTTGTATTGCTGCACTAGACTATTAGTTCTGGACACAACACTTCAATAAGGATGCTGACAAATTAGAATAAGTTCAGAGGAGGGCAGCAAGTGATCAGGGGGCTGGAAACAATGCCCTGTGAGGAAAGACTGAAAGAACTGAGTATGTTTAGCCTTGAGAAAAGAAGACAGAGGGGTAATAGGATAACACTTTGAATACTTGAAAGGCTGTGATACAGAGGAGGGGCAGGATCTGTTCTCTGTCATCTCAGAGTGCAGATCACACAACAATGGGCTCAAGTTACAGGAAGCCAGATTTCAGTTGAATATCAAGGAAATCATCCTAACTGTTAGAGCAGTAAGACAGTGGAACCAGTTACCTCAAGAGGTGGTGAGTGCTCCAGCACTGGAGGCATTCAAAAGAAACTTAGAGAACCACCTGGCAGATATCCTTTGATTTGTATTCCTGCATTGAGCAGGGGGTTGGATTTGATGGCTTCATAAGCCCCTTCCAACTTCAGTGTTCTATGATTAACATGGCTACCAATCCCAAAAACTTTAATGCTAATTGTAATGGTAGGCTTTAACTTAAATATTTGCTGCACATTTCTATCGAGCTCCAATGTCCCTTGTTATCCCCTGGTTCTATAAAGTACTGGTCTAATCTCTTGAATGTAGACGTTTTGTGCTTTGTTTTATTCTGACAGAGATCCAGATTTCTGGAAATCTTATGTGAAGTAGAATGTTTTTTCTTATGGTAATGGAAAGTAATGCTGCTATATAAAGAACTATTTTAAACTGTATAAAAAGTTGAATTTCCTGCAGTTTTTATTATTAAGCCAATGAAATGTTGCTGGACTGTTTATTTACAGTAAATTAAATTTATATTGAATAAGATTTTATACTGTAAAAAGTTTTTTCAGATGGCTGCTCATGGTATTCATTCACATAAATTATACATATACAACTTATAATATTTTTGGGAAATAATATTTTAGGTGTATAACTTTAAGCACATTCTTTTTCTTCAATGTCTATAGACCAGACCAAAAAACAAGTTGATGATTTATACATGGATATGTTAAATTGCATAACTCACCATGCATAGCTGTGGAGGTGCCAGTTGCATTACCAGGCCCACACTCTTCGAGCAATTGGGCATATGCCGTATACAACAACTGGCGCCTCCTTAATTAGCAGCAGTTCACCATGGGAATTTAACTGATGCATACCTAAATCACAAATACGATTCTAGCCATTTATGATAAGTACAGTCGTTTCAGATATTAACCCCAGATACCCTAGCTTACAACATGTTTTTGACCCATGAATAATTTTGTAAGTTGCTTAGCTGCTCTCTTAAATGTTAGTATTTCTGGGTGATACACAGTATTACACTCAGTCCATATTCTACATGTATGGAATATGGTATCTGCCACAAATATTCTGGAGCTTGTTAGCCAGCAGCTAAAAATATAACTGATCTTGTATAGTAAGACAGCTAAATGCTACATGACTTGAGCTGTTTGAAAGAAAAATAAATATTCAATTAATTTATATGTGTATGGATAAATTTTCTTTTTATGTAATCAACAGATTTATACTGTGGGTTAAATATTGAGAATTTTTCCTTAAAAAGAACATTAGGCATTTTAGTAAATATGTTAAAAAAGGAAAAAAAGAAAGTACAAGATACACTTCTGCAACTCACTGCTTCATCCAAGGAGATATCAGATTCAGAAAGTTCTCTTTCAAAAAATATGGAAAATGAACAGATAATTGATGTTCCTTCACAAAGTAAATCTGGTTTTCTTCCCAAGAGCACAGGTTAGTGATTTTATTGTACTGTCAGGTACTGAAATGAGTACTTGAATACTTTCTGTTCTTAATGAATTGCCTAGCATCATTTTGTTGTTATGTGCTGTCAAGTCAGAACTGACTTTGTGGACCCAACAGGGTTTTCAAGGTAAGTGAGGTATTTAAGGAGTGGTTTTACTACTACCACCTCCACTGAGTTTCCATGGCCAAGCAGGGGAATTGAACCCTGGTATCTTGAGTCCCTCCTTCACAGATTGCTGCCTTGTTGTGGCGAAGGGGCTTGAGTAATTCAGAGAAGCTATCGACTATGGCATGCAGGGTTACCCAAGACGGACAGGTCATAGTGGAGAGTTCTGACTAAACACGATCAACCAGGAGCAGGAACTGGCAAGCCACTCCAGTATCTTTGCCAAGAAATCTCCAGGGACAGAAACAAAAGGCTAAAAGATATGACGCTGGAAGATGAGCCCCTCAGGTTGGAAGGCGTCCAACATGCTACTGCGGAAGAGTGGAGGACAAGTATAAGTAGCTCCAGAGCTAAGGAAGTGTTTGGGCCAAAGCCGAAAGGATGCTCAGCTGCGGACGCGCCTGGAAGTGAAAGGAAAGTCCGATGTTGCAAAGAAAAATACTGCATAGGAACCTGGAATGTAAGATCTATGAACCTTGGTAAGCTGGATG